TCATATTTTTCTATAACATATAGAAAAGTTATATGTTAAATAAAGGAACCATTTCAAGATAAAGAATAAGTACTTCAGATATCTGAAGTACTGTGTTGCAAGACTTTCTTGTCAAAAACTAAGCGTATTTACACTTAATGCCTATACGTATTTTTCCTTCTTTGTATCATAAATAACTTACAGGCTCTTAAACTATAAATGTCTTTCCAAGAATTTTCCTTTCCTTCTACAAATTGGTTTCCTATCATCTTAACTACACAATGCTAGTATTTGAAAGGATCCTTTGTCAAATATAAATTGGGAAAATTGTTGCAAGAAAATAAGGAAGAATTAATACTCTTCAAAATCAAGATTGTCACCCAGTAACAAAACTAACAATCTTTCTTGTAGCAGAAAAGGCTGATGTCACTCTGCTCTCCCTATCTCATGCTGTTGGGATGAATTCAGTATTGGCTTCTCACCTGGGTATGCCAATGGTCGAGTGTGGTACAGTGCACCAGAGTGGATTTCCATTTCCCCATTGCCTCTGAAAGGCCGAAGGACAGAAGGAGAGGAGCCACGTTGGAAGCATTTCAGCCTTCCAGCCCATGTGTGAGAAGTTTGTGTGAATCTAAAGCAGACCCTGACAACTGTCACTTCCTTTTCTCACTTCCCTAGCTTTCAGGCGTTCCCTGGTTGGCCAACAATGTTTACTGATTCCATTCACTTCTGCTTTCAGGGTAAATTCTTACAGAAGAAAGAAATCCTGTCTTTTGCTGCAAAATGAGCGGAACTGGAAGACACTATATTAAGTGAAATGAAACAGACACAGGATGAAGAGTAGTGGATTTTCTCTCCTGTAGAAGCTAAAAGAAAAAACAAATTTAACCAGAATTTGGAATAGCGATTACTAGAGGTTAAATGATTGTTTGATTGTTTGTTTGTTTGTGGTGCTGGCTCTGGGGCTTGAACTCAAGGCCTCTGTGCTATATTGCTCAAAACGAATGCTCTACCATTTGAGCCACAGCTCCACATCTGCCTTTTTGTTTTGGTGCTTAATTGTAGATGAGAGTCGCTTCTTTCCTACCTGAGTTGGCTATGAACTATGATCCTCAGATCTCAGCCTCTTGAGTACCTTGGATTACAGGCATGAGCCAAAGGTGCCCAGAGAGGTGAATTTCTCTTGGAAGTAGGGTGAAAAAAGTGATTTGATCAGTGCCTGTTATGTTTATATGCTGAAATACATACTGGACCCCATGGGTATGTACCAATTATACCTATTCATCAAAAATTACAAAAATTACAATGTACCAAACTGATATACATCTCAATATTGTTTTCAACTTTGAAACTTCTAAAACACTGTATTTTAAATATTTTCACTGCAACAAATAGAATGAATATATAGTATGATATAGTCAATCATTAGCTGATTTAAACATACTATTTTATGTACCCAAACATCACTTTATATTTCAAATATATATATGTATATATATATAAAATGGTTATTCTTCAAATAAAAAGTGAATAAAATCTTAAGAGTAACTGTAAAGTATAAATGAATGTTCATTTCTAATTATTAAAGAAATGAATGTTTGGGTAATGTAGTTTTTCACTTATCAGGTTACATCTAAGATTGAGAAACAAAACTTTTTGCAATTAAGTATATATCCAAGGAACTCTGTCATACTCTGATGATGAAAGTATAAGTCAAGACAGAGAAGCACATACATTTGTGCAGATACACACACACTCACACGTAATGTCATGTCATTAATCTCTCAGTCCATCTATTATTATTGGCATTTATTGATCTAATAAAACCTATTAAATTTTGCTTTGGATTTTTTGTTCTTTTTGCTATGAATAAAACATTAAATGAGTAAAACTTATCTTTAAGCCCTCATCATGCAACATATAAAGGAAACCCACTGGGCACATAGAAGTTGAGGTTAACAAAGGAATAGAGAAAGGATCTTTCTATCCTTCTACCTTTCTCCTCCATCCATTCCCCTTGGCTCTGATACCACACAATCATCAAGGCTTTGGCTTTGATGTTCAGTTGTTACTTAAATCTTAACATCTTCTTCTTTTGGTCTCTTCCCAGATTTTTAACTTATCCAGAACATTAGTTGGGCGTTGCTTTACCTACATATTCCCTTGTGTTAGACCTGAAAATCACCCAGTTTTTAATGTCACTCCTGCCACAACTCTACAACAATGTGCTCTATTTTGTGTCACATTACCTCCCTGATTCTTGCACCCTAGGCTAGAACTTACCTTCATGTTCCATGTCTAAATCCCATGCATTGTGTTCAACATGTAGAAATTAATTCTGTAAGTTCTGGCGAGCAAAGTGCAGTGCTGAGAAGACTTAAGATTTCTAACAGGGTTTTGTTAGATTTTATAATAAAGTAGATTTTTTTTCTTAGACTCGAGGCACTGGATTCATATTTCTTTGCAAACTTATCCTAAGCCATGAAAAAGCATCCACAAATGACAGAGAGCCTTTTGAACTGTACCACGGCAAAGTGTCTCTCTTCCTGAATTGTCTGCTCTTGTCAGGACTCAGAGACAAGATGCATACGAAGGACTTTTTTTTTTCATATTTTGGATCCCTATATTAATGGATATTTTGTTGTTATAGCTGTTATATTCTGATTCCAGCATGGTGGTGAGTCTACTTTTCAGCTGGAGACTGAACTTCCAAAATGCTTCATACTAGGTAGAGAGTGGATTAATTTTTATTCAAGTAATTATTTGGCACTTGATATCATTCTTGGCTTTTGCATCAAATAGATGAATAACAGCAAAAAATGTTTATTCCATATGCTATATTAAAATCTACAATGAAACACTGTTTTCATGATTAAAATTGAGGCATCCTTAGAAACCAATGATATGTACAGCTAATTGAATTGCTGGCCTAAAACAATGTTAGCAATAAGCAACTTGATGGCACATGGTAAAAATGAACTCACTGTATGCAGACTATAATTATAAAGCACGATAAATTACATGCAGAGGTTATTTCTACCGTTAAGTAAATAACTGCCTCACTCAGGGCTGATTTGCTAAAATGCTATCTGGAAAGCCAATAAATATTCATTATTCATATTAAACACAAAATTCTGCCAGTGGAAGATCATCTATTTCAAGGTCACCTGTATTGAAGAGAGCAAAGACGAGGCAGCATAGAATATATGTACGCAGGTCTTATTAAGCACAAATTTTGGATCACTGGCAAAATTCCTGACTCTGTGTTGTCCCATTTGAAAGGCAGAATTTTGGATTCATTCACACCTTTTGCTTTGTAAGTATGAAGTGCAAACGGTTCACAATACTCAGGAGACATAAAATCTGTGTAAATATAAAATTTTCAGTCCTCACTATTTCTAGTCATTTTAAAATCTTTTATATGACATATAACATTATAGATTTCCTGATGCATTTCCAATCTAAGAAAGCCACTCCAATCATATATAGTCTTGTCATGTCAATAAAAGTACGTAAATGTATAAACAATGCGCTGCATATATTGAAAGGAAGTCAAAGGCAGTTGTACTGAGAGAGTGAAGTTAGTATGATACACTATTAGAATAGAAATAGCTTACATTTGAATCCCACCAATATTTTGCTAATCCAAAGAAACAAGTTAATACATTTATTCCAGGATCAATGTATTTTTTTCATGGCTTATGTAGTGATAACATAATAGACTCCTTCATATACAAAGAAACATTAATTTTAGATAGCTGACAATAAGCTCAATTATTAGTATCATTTCTTTTTCATACCTAGAAATGTGTAGGCAATGTTATTTAACACTAATGTGCACATTTCTGTTTACCAACGTGCAAGTTCAAGCTTGGTGTTCAGCATCTTGGCATTTATGGGTGGAAAACTTCCTCAGCAGCTCTGAGGGTCCCTTCTGGTGACAGCAGTAAATTACAGCTTGGGGACATTCCCTCACCTCCCTTAAGATACCAAAATATCTTGGCAGATGTCCAATTGATCAAGCAGCGGTAAGTCCCTGGGGTGTGTGGCTGCCATAAGTGAACTTATCATTTTGAAATCTGTAACTGGGAAGAATTTCATTTTCCTGGGAAAGAGTCTGGAAAAGTTTTAATGTTTCTGAAAATTTTCCAAAATTAGTGTCCTGAGAATGATATCAACTTCAGATTTCTGTTTCTTATCTGTTTTAGTGTGTAACAATTCAAATAGACAACTACTTATACATATATATGTACACACATACTCTGTGAAGAGAGAGAGACAGAGAAAGAGAGAGAGAGGAAGAGAGAGAGAGAAGGAAAGAAAGACAGAAGCAATATGGACCCTAATTTTGTTGGTGATGTCCATGGCTTACAGTAAATTTTGGTATCAAAGTAATAGCCATACCCTGTGTACAAAACAAGCATAGATCTTTTCTATCTTCATACATTTAAAAAAATGTGATATCTTAAAATACTACTTCTATTTCCCCTTGTATTTTACATTTCACTATCATTCTTAAAATTGTCCACCTTCTAGGTCCATGAGATAGCTATCTATATTTAAATCAGCTTTTTAAATCATGTTATTTGATAATTGATCTGGTATTAATGTGGTAGAGATAGGTTATCATTTTATTTATTTGCAAAATATGTAGTAACTATGCTAAACTAGTTTATAATATATAGACAATACTTTTAAGATCATTTGCAATTTGTAGTACTTATGCATTTCAAAATATTAATGCCTATGACACATGCATCTCTCATCATAACTTTCTAATTATTATTTGATAAAGTAAGTCAAATCAGTATTTAGGATGGAAGTTGTAAGTAAAACAATAATTTTTAATAGAAAGTATCATTAATGTTTGACTTCATGTTGTTGCTTTTCCCAATATATAATAAGTGTACAGTAAGTTAGCAGGAAACCTAGTCTATTGGTACTTAATTAGTTTTATGTCTCTAGAATTGTATCTCTTCCAAATGACTTCCAGTGAAGCATTCTTCTGTTTTCTTTTATTTAAAAATATCGAGCAGTTTCCAAATGTGCATGTCATTCTTGCACAGGGGCCAGACTAATCTTCTCCATGTTGTTTTGAATTCTAGTACATGTTCTATTGAAGCGAGCATTCTTTTGTGTGTTTTGTTGGCTCAGTCTTAGGTCTTTCCATGTTCTGTTTTCATAATTTTCATGAATAAGCTTCTGGTTGGAAGTAAGAGGGGACATTCTGTTTTAGAGAGGTAAAAACGCTTTTGCCTTGAGTAAAGATGGGGTGGAGGAAAGTACGATGTTTCCCTTGCATGTGAGTCTTTGGGGGTAGGTAGAGGAGAGCGGAAAAATGAGAATGGACAGAATTGTTTCCATGAGAAGATAGTAGGCAAGGGCCCACAGCAAGATGTTCTTTCTTTTTATTGACAGTAAGAAGCTGAGCAAGGATCAAGGGACCCGTGCAGCCCTACGCTTGGCTGATCCTGTGCCTGGAGGATATCTGCAAAGTAAAATCTAGGAGTTCTTTTGCTTGGAGGCCTAGAATTTGGATTGGGAAGGAGACTGCTAATACAAGGTGCCAAGCATCAGTAGTAGTGTGAAGTGAGGATCTCAAGTAGCTAATGAACATGGATGGCAGAGAAAGAGAAAGGGCTCAGGTATTTAGTACAGAATGGATACAGTTAAAAGTACTACTGAAAAAGAGGTATTGTTTCTTCTAATGTGCGCAAGTGAGAGCTGGGTGTATTACATCCTGATAGGGACTGACACTCCAAAATAGCTAAAAAGGTAGCTATTTAGCTAGGCCTGATAAGATGATGGCCTTCAAGATGTCAGATGAAATCTACTTCAAAGTTTTCTTCTTCTTGTGCCAATAGAAGCTGCCTTTTCTCTTTTTCAGAATTTCTCTGCCTTTCCACCAAGAGGAGAAAAACTGAGAGAGGCATAACTACAACCAAGTAAACTAAATCACAGTCAAAATTAAAACTGGTTCATTAAAATTAATAAAAGCTATAATTCATTAAAAAATCTTCCAAAGGGAAGAATAATCATTGAGATTCAATTCAATGTGACAAATGTTTGTCTCATAGCCACCAGCCCTCATCTAGGAGCAAATAGTATGACAATATTATGACTTTTTTTTAACCTTCTCTTTGAAAAAGCATTGTTTTTCCTTTAATCAGTGATCATCAAAAGTAATGAAAAACTTGTATTTCTCTATGCTCTATATTTTAACAAAGTTCCAATAAATAAGGTTTAACCAACAGGATCCATAGAACAACATTTTAAGATAAATTATTCTTCTATTCCTATTACACATTTAATTTTCAATGCTTATATGTTTAAGAAGAATACATATATATATTTCATATGAAGATTTAAATTTCTAATTATCAAGTTTTCATTCCCATCTGATAGAAAATCTGGTATAATATTATGAACAGTAAATGTCTGTTGAATTGAATTTCCTTAAACTCCATAAGTCTGGGAGAATCTGGGAGAATTATACTTCTCTTGATGCTTATGACATTACTTTCTCTGTTTGTCTTCATTTACCCGATCTCCAATTGTTCCATCCACTTAACTGAAGATCTGAATGCCTGTTTAAACTCCTTTTCTCTACCTAGGAAAAATTATCCTTCATATTTATAAATCATCTACTACAATATCTTTGAACTTAGGTTATGTGACTATTTCTATTTGCCTTAACTGTAGGCATTAAAATCTAAGGAACTAGCTAGCCCACCTAGCCAGCTAATTGAACAAACAAAAAGCTTTTCATCATTTTCTATATTATAAATATTCAATGTTTACATTGTGTGTGTGTGTGTGTGTGTGTGTGTGTGTGTGTGTCTGTCTGTCTGTCTGTCTGTCTGTGTGCTGGTTCTGGGCCTGGAACTCAAGACCTGGGTAGTGTCCCTGAGCTTTTGGATTCAGGGCTGCCCTTCTAACATTCGAGAAACGGGTGCACTCTGGGCTTTTTTGGTGATTATTGGAAGTAAGTAAGAGTCTCACAGACTTTCTTATATCTGAGAGCCTCAACTCTACAGGATGAAAACTGAAATTATCCTAAATGTCTTCCTCATTCCCTGGTACCTGTCTCACCTGATGGAAACATTGTCCATCCCAGTGAAGGATTGGAAATCGTCTTTGAGTCTTTCTTCCTCCAGCATTATTACCACGCCAATTCTAACACCAAACCCTAAGTGTTTCAGGAATTGATATTCTTCTCTCTCTGCTATGTAAGCTTCCATCATTTTCACTAGGAAGATTATAAAGCTTTGCCTTCATTTGTTACCCCTCAAATCCTCCACATTACGATGGTATTCTAATTGTCCATAGCCTACGATTGAAAGATCATGTTTTGTGGCCAAGTGACTGCACTAGAAACAGGTTCTCTGAGCAGCAAACTAACTTTGAGGACAAGGGTGCTCATGTGGGAGAACACTTAAAGTGCAGAGGCTTGGATTTGATCCCTGAAGGAGAAAGAATATATGGATTACTTTGGTTTGGCCTCTGTGTTAGTTCCCTTTCCTACCTTTGACCTTGAATGTAGCATAGAATCAACTCTGAATTGTATGCTTCTGCATATAATTTATTTATTCCAGTTCACTTTTATGCAGTGTTTACCCTCTGCTTGGAGTCAGGTACGTATTATTTAATCGTTAGCTACTTAGCACTGAAATTTAAACAGAAAACACTCCCAAAAATTCTGTCTGTCCCTTGGGGAGCGTTAGGCTTTTCCTGTTCTATAAGTATGACCCTATCATATGAATCATTCTAGTTTGAAATCCTTTATTTATCTATCTGCCATAGAATGAAACTCCTGCACAGCAAGAAGGATGTTGTATTATTCATAAAGAATATCTGCCTAAGAGCTTAACACAGTTTCTACTCACTAAATGTTGGTTGTAGTTGACATCAGATAATTGAAATGTGATAAATGCCACTAAATGTTTTCTCCAGGACTAGCAGAGTGCTTGATGAATATTGCACAGTTAATTAATGTAGAACAGCTGAATGATTATTTCTGGGTCTTCTAAAACATCACAAATCAAGGAAGGAGAAGACAGAGGGAAGGATGGAAGGAAGGAGGGGAGAAAGGGAGAAAGGAAGGGAGGAAGGAGTAACTAACAATAACTACCCGATTTCCTCCTTAAACTAAAAATAAATATGGAGTGAGGCTCAAGATCAGGGGACATGTGAAGAAGAAAGACAAATTTCTAGCACACATTTTGATATTCTTTCCCCTAAGTGACTCTTAGGCTCATCACTGTAGGGACCAAATATACTAAACAACCACTTGCTGCCATACATTACCATGACTGACCAACCAAGAACTGTTTCTCTATCAGCCAGCAGAGGGCGTGATAGAGCAGAGACACTCCTTCACTTGAAGCTAGGCACTTTCCCAGCCACTTTCCAGCTCCCCAAGGTGGGGCTACTTCTGAGGGTGGGTGTAGATTTTTGCTTTTGATTGTGCCGTTTATTATCTTTCTATCATTCATCCACTTTAAGGCCAGGACATTTTTGCTGCTCCATGTTAAAACATGAAAACTGGAGGGGTTCTCATTGTCCAGACTAAAACCTATGAGTACATTGTTTACTAAGCTTGTTATAAATCAAGGATAAATGAAATACATAAAAGTTTATTTTAAAGTTTGTTTTTGGCTTTAACTTTGTAGGGTAATGGAAATATACATATATTCCAAGCTGACTTTTTGCCTCTGTCGGTCCATCAACTCTGGCATAGCTCGTACATGAAGCAATCAACCTCTTAAATCACCATGCGCTTTTAGTGTTATTTCCAGTCTACAGCACAGCAAACAACTCAGTTGTCAGGGAAGACAGATATGAGCATCATGTCGCATCATTTGCAAATGATTTATTCCATACAGTACATAAAACACACGTGGAGCTCCTCAATAAAGAAGGATGTAAAGAGAACTGTCTTCATTTGCGCACAGTGTGGGGAACGTCCAGAGAAAGATACATTACAAGTAACAAATTCTGCGCTATCAGATAGCTAATGGGGTCAAGGGAGAAAGAAAAACACACCTGAATTAAGTGACTAGAAATCACCTGCTGTGAAGATATGACGTCGACTGTGGAAAGCTCCAATCTAATAGAATCTAATCCATTTCCTTTATTTTCTCTGAATGCTTTTAGTTTTGTTATGCTTTCTCACTAGTACTATTTTAGGATGCATTATAGTAGCAGGATGCTGGGGTTTGGTGTTTTTTTTTTCCATACAGAAAAGGAGACTCATCCAAGAAAAATGAACAAAGGACTTACTGCCAACAATTTTCAATGAGTCCCCTTGTCATTTGAGATGAAACCATTCTTTATGGAGAGAGGGAGTGTCTCACATTTTCTGGGCAGTTAGCATTCCAGTTTGTCTCCATTGAACACTGGGAGTATGTTATGGTTATCATGTGAATCAACTGCACACATTTTAGAATGCTTCTTTTAGGAGATATGATGGCTTCCATCCAAGAAACATCAACTGGCAAAATCTCAGCCAATGTGGTTTTGTCCTACAAGTTTGTTCTGTTGGGGCATTTTATTTAATACCACTGTAGAACAAAGGGATAATAGACTTATAGAAATGCAAGGAATTAAAATTGTATATGAAAATAGGCAAGACAGGACATAACAGGTATTTTATTTTATTTTTTTAATTTAATTTTATTTTTTGTGAACATACTGTACAGAGGGGTTACAATTACATGGGCAGGATAATGCGCACATTTCTTATCAAGCATCGCAGCCTCCTCCTTTGTTTACCCTTCACATCCCTTTCCAGCCTCCCCCCATCCCCCCACCCAATGCTCCCCCCTCCCCCCCTCCCCGCACCAATGTTGTAAAGCTCGTTTTTGACGTGACAACTTGTACTTCTCATTGTTGCAACAGGTCCACCTGTATCCTTAAATGACTTGTTTTTCCCCATCTCCTCCACAAGTTATAATGACATCAAATATAGTGAAAGCAGGGGTTAAACTGTGAGGGAGGGACATACAAAGCAACAAAGAGATAATCTTATAAATGTGTTAGAAACAAATGCATGAAATAAAAAAGCATTAAAATACATATCTAAGGGTTCATTTTCCTAACATCACATTATCTGACCTTTTCCGCTT